AGAGATTTGCGGACAATGAAGAAGTAATCGAAGCTGTAAATGGTTATTTTGAGGAGCTTGACGAATCAGTCTATAGAGATGGCATTAATAGACTGGAACACCGCTATGAGAAATGTATCAGCCTTGGAGGAGATTATGTTGAGAAATAAAAAAAAAAAATTTTTAAAAACCTTGTTTTTCTTGGTCAGGCCGGAAACTTATCAATCCACCCTCGTAGATTTTTACCTCTACATGAGGAGGGGTCGCAAGGACAGACCAGACAGCATCGGCTATGTCTTCTGAGACCAATGTTGGCTTTCCTTGGAGTACTGCCTGGCCCACTGGGTCTACAGCCGCCAATGCTTCAGTTTTGACAAGCCCTGGACTTATACTCTGAAATGTTTTACGGATTAATACGTTTTAAACCCCCAACACTTAATGCTCTTTAAAAAAGGAGCGGGTTCTCAATTCGATTTATGTTTTTTTTTTGTATCTTTGTTACGCGATTACTCCGTCAATTATGAATTGATTTTGGTGATTCTTTTTTTGCTTGGTAGGTCATAGTTCAGAGGTGGTCCCATGTAAATTTTATCGAAATTGATACAGTACTTTTTGGAAAAATCAACAAAAACAAGAAACATATTATTTACACTAAAAATTGAATAACGAAGTTAATTTTTAGAAAAAGAAAAACAAAAACCGACTCAAGACTGACTATACCTACATGTACAAATTTAAACTTATAAAGTTTTGATTGATTATATTTACCGTAACTTTTATTTTTAAATTTTCAGATGCAAGTTCGTTTCTTAGTGTTTCGGCCAGGGCAGTAACAGCAAATTTGCTTGCAGGATACACGTTTAATTTCGGTACATTAACAATTTTATGACCTGTAACACTGTTAATGTGTATGATGTGTCCCTCTACGTTATTAAGTTTCATGTCTTTGATCGCCTCCCTGGTGGCCACACACAATCCGAAAACATTGGTATCTAAAACGTCTCTCCATTTTTGAGAATCACCGTCAATCAGAGTATTGACTTTCGAAATTCCTGCATTGTTCACCTTCGAGGATAATCCCAGGCCTTTCAAGTGGTCATAAACTGTTGAATTTGATAAATTTAACCTCAATCCGATCTCACGTGTTGTTATTCGCCGGTTCACATCAACTAATGCCTTTATCGCGTCTTTATCAGCTTCAACCGGCCTTCCCGAACGTGGTGCATCTTCGACATCAAAATTGCCGGATCGAAATTTAGCGAACCAGTTCTG